GTTTCCTCATCTGCACGGCAGCAGCTTCCTCGCAGGCGCAGCTGCTGTGGTGACTAGATGGGACGCTTTGCTGGGCAGTAGCAGCAGGAAGCCAGGCACCGGGCCACCCAGGCTGAAGTCACAATGCCCCTGCCAACACAGCTTTCCTGGGAGAAACTGAGGCACAACAGTTACAGCTCAGTCACAGCTACAGAGTGACAATAGGGGAGGTGGGGGGCGTACTAGCCAGGCCCCTAACGTTGCCACCTGCTGCTGCCCAGAGGACTGCATGGAAGACCCTGCTCCCAGGTGCTGACTACGCAGGTAGTTGGTCATGGCTCTGGGAGCCAAGGGCACCTGCCCTGCTTGGCTCAGCTGCCCTTTATCAGTCACATGGGCAATACTCAGGAATGAATGCTGTCCTCACCGGCCACCTTTCTCCGCTGACAGAGGACAATGTTATCTTTAAAGTCACTCAGAAGATTAGCTGAACAGGCAAGAGCAGCTTGAGACCCCAAAAGGGGCCCCTTTTCTTCCCTGAGTCAACTCTCAGGGGTCCCCAGCAGGGCCTGGGCAGTGTCCAGACTGCTCTGGGGCTACACAGGCCCCATCTTATCTCTGCAGACGGTACTTCCTGCACATATTAGGGGCCGTGGGGAAAGGGAAAGAATCAGGAGGGGCTGGCGGACAGGGTGGGAGTGGGAGCACGTGGGCTCAGCAATGAGAGTGTGAGCAACCCACAGGACGTTCTGTTTTCCAGGGAACAGACGACAGACTGCAGCAGTGTGCCACTGTCCAGCCCCGCCTTCGCCTTGGGCCTCTCTTTCTGGGAAGGAAACACCTGTTTTCTATGCTGCCAGCAAAGGGAGCCCAGAAGGTGCTGCCCTGCCCTGACTTCCTCTGCCGCACTGGGCCACAGGAGGCCTTCAGAAGACCAGCGGCAAGGTCTCCAAGAAGTCCGACCCTCCCGTGATCTCCTGGGGTGACCACCTGGAGTCCACATCCAGCAACTCCAGAGGTGTCAAGTAATAGTCCTTCTTTCAATGATAAAATGCCCAGCCTCAAATCCTAACTGGGTAACGTACAGTAAGTCACATTTAAGTCAGGATCTCTGGAGTTATGGAGAGAAAGGAATGGTCTAGAAAATGGATTGAATCTCACTACTTCACAGTGACAGCCCTCCTCCAATCAGAGGGATGCACTGGGGCTGGGGATGTAGCTCAGTTGGTAGAGTGCTTGCCTCGCATGCTCAAGACCCTGGGTTCAATCCCCAGCACCAACAAAAAAAACAGAGTGATACCCTGATCTTTCAGCACCCCTCTTCTTCCCAGGGTGCAGTAAGGGTACCTTCTTTAGATATGGGGGCTCTGGCTACAGAGACCCAGAGGCGCTTCATGTTTCACCTAGCAGACACAGGAGGCCCCACAAGGCAGGCATCTGTCTCCTGTTGGCTCTCTCCTCCATGTGTTGCCTGCACAGGCTACTTGAGGGCCAGAACTGCCTGGCACATAATGTCCTTCCTAACCCCATCAAAACACATTGCCGGGCTGGAGATATAGCTCAGTTGGAGAGTGCTTCCTTGCATACATAAAGCCCCAGATTCAATGCCCAGCAACACACAAACACATCCAAAAAAAAAAAGAAAAAAAAAGATTGTCAAGTGACTAATTAGCTATGGAACTTCAATAAAAAATAAAAACATTGCCAAGAAGGCTGCAGGGGGTACATGCAACTTAGACCCTCTCTCAAATTGAAACTATAAAAGGGCTGGGGGATGCACCTCAATGGTAGAGAGCTTGCTGGCAATCAAGAGATCCCGGGCGCCATCTCCAGTATCGCAGGGAAAAAAGGAAAGAGCAAAACAAAACCTATGGGCTGGGACGTGGCTCAGTGGTACAGCATTTGCCTCGCATGTCCTAGAGAGAACAAGTCCAGACCACGCCTCTCTCCTCACAGGAAAGGAGCAGGGATTCCATGCACCAAGACGCCAAGTCCAAGCTGCTCAGCCTAAGCCCTGAGGACACAGGCTGAAGTGTCACAGACCACAGAGCAGGCAAATGTCATGGCATCAGGGAAACAGAAGCTACTGAATCCTTTTATTAGGTAACAGGAGCCAGGAGAGACCCGCATCAGGCCCTAAAGCCACACCAACAATGGCATTCTAGAGGGATAAGCCTCTTTTGGTGAGTGGCTGTCCCTGTCCTACACTGTGTGCACACTGCCACACAGTAAGGCCCTCAGCCTACTCCTGAGGCCTCAAAGGCCAGGACACCTCAGCCCCGAGGCATGTTGTGAATGGACTCCTGCTGCAGTTCCTGCTCTTAAAGAGTAACTTATTCAAACTTGCCTTGCTCTGGCCAGTTACAGGGCGTTGGCTCATGAGGCATTTTCTTAAAATCAAGTTGGAACAATAAGAAGGAAGAAGATGGGCCCTGGCTACTTTAGAGGGGTCCCCAAATCTGCTCCCCTTAACTCCTAGAAGCATCACTCCCACCAGGGTTACAACCTAAAAGCAAAATGGGCAGCTTTCAAACCCGATTAGAGAGATGTTTCTTGCACGTCCGAGGCCAATCTAGTCTCAGCAACTTACCAAGAAAGACCCTGCCTCAAAAAATTAAAAGGGCTGAGGGTGTAGCTTAGTGGTAAAGCTTCCCTGGGTTCAACCTTCATATAAGAAAAAAACGGACACAGTCTTAATGTGTCTGATGCAATGTCACACTGGCTGGGGCCTTCAAGGACAGAGGACAGAGCTTCACTCCTCAAAACCACAGCAGATCCAAGCACCCCGAAGCCCAGGTGGCTGGCTTCACTTGCAGTCTCCCCACTGTGGGGCAGCCCGGAGGGCAAGGGGCACAGGGCAGCTACGCAAGTTAATGATAAACTGGTCACTGGTCCTCAACCCTTCCTCATTTCATTTTCCCCTCTGCAGCTGCAGATTTCCCCTCCAACCCCAGCCCGCCCTCATGGTCCTTCCAAAAGGCACTCACTCAGGCCCTATAGCGGGTGCCCACCTTTAGGTGCGGGCGACAGTGAGCAATGTGACCCAGGCCAGACACATCCCGAACCAGGTCTTCAAATGAGCATGGCAAAACTCAGACAGGAGTTGACACAACTGGATCTAACCCTGGGCACGAAATCTACCCCTCACCCCCCTACACCCCCGCCCCTTGCCCTTGCCCCTGCCCCCGCACCTCAGGGCGGTTGCTGACTACACACGCTAAGCAAATTTAAGCAAATTTTTATGAGCCCTAAGAAGTTCACTAGTTCTGCTAGTTTCTCTTTCGTCTGGCAGGCTCACAGTCCTGCTGGGCTTACTAGAACTCAGATGGCTCTAGGAGGCAAAACTTTGAAATGCTGATGGAAGCAAGTAAGCCCCGGGAGGCCAGCCAGCACTGCTAGCTGGGCCACCTGAGCACGGGGGCAAATCACCCAGCCAGTTATCCCTGCTACCCTACTGCACGGCCTGAGGCCCCAACTGCCCTGTCTCCAGCATGCTCCAGGATTCAAAAGCAGCCAGTCACAGGGAATGGGCAGGGGCCCCATCTTGGCTGCTCCTGTCACTTGAGTACAGGGAGGCAGGGAAGAAAGCGGCAGCCTGGAGATAAGAGGCTAATGTGAAGCACCTATCCTTTAGACAATTTTTGTGTGTGTGTGTGTGTGTGTGTGGTGCTGGGGATTGAACCCAGGGCCTAGTGCAAGCGAGGCAAGTACTCTACCAACCGAGCTATATCTCCAGCCCTCCTTTAAATGTTTTTAAAAACCCTGCCAGGCACCTACCTATAATCCCAGTGACTCGGGAGGCTGAGGCAAGAGGATCGCAAGTTCAAAGCCAACCTTAGCAATTTAGTGAGACCCTAAGCAACTTAGTGAGACTCTGTCTTGAAATAAAAAAATAAATAGGGCTGGGGATGCAGATCAGTGCTCAAATGCCTCTGGGTTCAATCCCTGATGGAAATAAAAGGAAAACGCTGGGGTGGAAGACACCTGAAGGAATCCTGGCAACTGGGCAACAGATATCAGCTGAGGTGGTCGAGGACACTGGCACCTGGCTGCAGCCTGGATCTGTTTACCTCTGCTGATTCGCTGCTTCTCTCCGGACAGGATCCCGGGAGTGTCGATGATGCTGATGCTGTCCAGGACGGGGTTGGGCAGCTGGGCACACATGAACCTGCAGAAGAGCAAGGCCAGAAAGCTGTCAAGGCAAGGCTGTTGATGCTCCAGATGCTACAGGGAGGGCGTCCTGGCCTCCGCTGTCTCCATGCTGGCTTCCTTCCCAGAAGCAAGGAACGTAAGGAGGTGTCCTATCATCTTACTTTCCAGAGGTGGCCAGCAAACTGGAAAAACTTTTTTTTTTTTTTGGTGTTGGGGCTGGAACATGGCCAAGGCCTTGCACAGGCTAAGCACGGACTCTACCCTGGAGCCATGCTCCCTGCCCCCACCAAGTGGACATACTTTCTCAACTGGAAATGTAACAGTAGGCTCCAAATGACCCACAGCAGTGTTTCTGTCACAGCTGCTCCCCGGCCACCGCCCCGAGTTCCAGAGTCCTACTTCCCAGTTGCTGACTTGTTAATGACAGCCGAGCCTAGGTCACCACTCAGTTCAGAAGGAAACAGACGCTTGACACGGGGACCTTGCCATTCCATATTACAATGTTCAACTATTTGGCTGGAGTCCCGCAGAGTGAAGAGGGATGGTCTCTTCCCATTGCTGCTGGGCCAGCGCTCCCCTTTCACCCAGCTGCCTGGATGAAGGGGCGGCAGTGGGCTGCCAGTAAAGACTGGGGGAGCACACAGGCTGGCTGACAGCGGGGAGGTCAGCAGACACACCATGCTCTGAGGTCAAAGTGGGCACAGTCACCACAGGCTGGAGACTCCTTGGGGGAGGGATTAGCTACCCAATTTCCACACTGGGCTTAGAACTACCCAGAAGAACAAAGGTGATCTCAACTGATAGCAGGATTCTTTACAGAAAAGAATCCTTTAAGAACTTTCTAAAGGGACTAAGGATATAGCTCAGTTGGTAGAGTGCTTGCCTCACATGCACAAAGCCCTGGGTTCAATCCCCAGCACCAAAAAAACCCACCTCTCTGAAGACCCAAACACAGCAGCGCACGCCCATAGTTCCTGCCGAGGCTGAGGCAGGAAGGACCATGATTTTGAGGCCAGCATGGGCAATGCAGCAAGACCCCATCTCAAAATAAAAAGGGCTGGGGATGTAGCTCAGTGTACAGCACCCTTGGATTCAATCCTTAGCACCATAAACAAAACCAAACCTCTCTAAGAAAGTACTGTGAGCAAAGGAAATCCTATTGTCCAGCAGGACACAGGCACAGAGCTGCCCTTCCAACAGTGAGGAGGATTCAGGACTGATTAGCTCCTCCTTGTGGCCCCATCACCCAAGTAACTGGTGGTCCACAGGCCAGCAAGAGGTGCCGTCTGTGAGTGCAACCAAGTGCAACCAAGCCAAACCAACTGACCCCCAAGGTGAGAAAACCTCAGACTTCACCCCTCCAAGGCCAGCATGGAGCACGAGTGCCCTTCTGCACGTCCATCCTGGGTTTCTGCTCAGGAAGGGGCTCTCTGAAAGGGCTGACAGAAGAAAAGGTGTGAAAGGAGGTCTGCCTTTGAGAAGCACCTCGTAACATACACAAAAAAGCCCCTACAGGGGCCTGGTGAGTGAAGGCACATTTGTAGGACTCAGGAAGAAGCTGCTCTGCTGCACCTGGGAGCGTGGTGGAGAACAAGAAAGGCAGGTGGCAGGAAAGATGCTGGGTCCTAACACGGAGGCAGACTGGTCTCCCTGTACAAGTGGGCAGCCTGGTTATGCAACAGGTTTTAACCAGTCACTCTGAGGTCTCCCTGATTGTACCCTGTCTCAGTCTGCTCCATCTCTATCTGATTGTATTCTTAGAGCAGACACTCAGAAGGAAAAGGCCGGAAAGTCAAGTTCATGACTCAATGGGTCCCTTTAAGAGTGCTGGGAGAGGCTGTAATAGCCACAGAAAAGCCCCTTTTGTTGCACCCTCCCTGGCGGGCGGCTCCCTGTGTATCACACATCCTGACACAGCTTGGGCCTTGGTTGTAATTGATAAGGCCCCCTTGGTAGACCCCCCGGCACTCAGGGACCCTCTGGAGATGAGGCGGTGGCAAAGCAGCATTAAGTGTGGATCTTGGGTCTAGTGACACCCACACCATCAAAATGCCTATCTGACCAAGACTCCTAAGCTGTTCCTTTTTCAGGCAGAAGCATTAGTGACCACAGGTTTGTCTTAATGAGTGAACTCGAGAAATCAGCTCAGTCTCCTAAATTAGTGAGGCAGGGGCTGCTGGGGTGGCATCCAGGATCCTTCCAGCTGTGAAAACTCTACGTTTCTGAAGGCAGAAAACATAACATGCTGGGTTTCTCCTTTTAAAAAAGCTCTACCCTCATGATTGAATCAAGTGAAGACTTGAGGACAATGACCCACCCTGTCATTCCCAAAAGTTCTTCCTGGAAGCAGAAATCTAATGAGTAGATAACTTTCCAGTACAGCAGCCAAACTTTCCACAAGAACAAATGGCTCCCACCAGCTAAGGTCTGAGCCAAGTGCCTATCTACAGGCATGATAAAATGTAAGCATCCTTGAAAAAGGGGCCAGGCTAAGGGGACCAGCCCTTCAAGAGCCTGAGCCCAAAGGGCTTCACTCAACTGGCCCTGCCAACACCATGAGCATAGAATGGGAGCACAGGATTAAATGCCTGAAAGAAGCAAAAAGACACCAAAGGTCAGCTCAGGCAGGGAGGCGGGCCTGGTCAGGGCCTGGGCTCTGGAGCAAGCCAGCCTGCCCTGTGTGGCCACAGCATCTGGGCAGGAATGTAATCACACAGGGCGGAGACCTGGAAGGCAGGATTGAGATTCTTTCTTAGGCTCTTCCCCTGACATAGACTTCAGCTACTCAAAGGCTTGGAGTCTCTTTGAAAGAGAGAAGGGAAGGGTCTGTGAAGTCTGGAGGTTTGTTCCCCTGGGGCCTAGGGATGCCTTGAATTCCTTTAGAGAAAAGTGTGACACTCCTTAGAGAGGAGACCACTGTTTTACTCATAGCGTTGCATGGGTCAGGATCTTGGAGGATCACTCTTATAATAAGGGGGCAGTTCTCACCCATTTAACCAGGGAAACTGAGTTAGTCCAAGTAGGCTAAGGAACATCCTAACACATCTAAAGTGGGACTTAGGGCCCAAATCCCATTTCAGGGTTCCTAGCGCCACCACCTCCTGAAGCCTCTCAAGGCAGCAATGACCCATTAAGAGCTACCTTTGGGAGAAGTATTCAGAGTCCATCTGTCCCCTTCCTTCAAAGGGCTGCCACAAAGTCAGAAGGCCACAGAGGATCCTTCTTGTCCCTCCTACACAAAGCCAATGGTCCCAGGGGAGGCAGAACAGAGACACACCACACCAGCAAATGAAATGGCCAAAAGCCTTAATGGGTTTTTCTAGGACACTTAAGAAACATCTCAGCCTAGCATGGTGGCTCAGGCCTGTAATTCCAGCAACTCAGGAGGATAAGGCAGGAGGATTTCAAATTTGGGGCCAGCCTCAGAACTCAGTGAGACCCTCAACAACTTAAGAGAGATCCTGTGTCAAAAAGGACTGGGATGTAGCTCGGTGGTAAAGCACCCCTGCACAGCAGCCCAGGGGGACACAGATACACACACACACACACCACATGATTTTTAAAAAAAATCTCAGAGCAGGGAGAGATTGATTTGAATGACTTGGATGCGTCCAGTCTGGGGAAGAAGGTGGAAACCAAGAAGGAGAGGACAGCAATAACTCATCTTTCTAACCCGAACCCTCGCATTGCTCGAAGTTGGGCTGGGGTCTGCAGGAGGGTTTGGGAGTTAAACTGATAATCTGGAAGATTCTGGGGGCGACAGAAGCCGTAGTAGTCGGAAATGCCCACTCCCAGACCTCCAGATGAGATTGGATGGGTTTTTCCGTGGGACTCCTGTCCCTGGGAGTGGTCGTTCAGGGTCTGGTCGGGGCCTCAGAGACAAAGGATAGCGAGGACGGGGGCCGTGAGAGGCCCAGGTCGCCCCTGGAGTCCCCGGGACAAGGGAAGGATACCTGTTGAGGAAGGCGTTGCCGAAGGCGTTGAGCTTGCGGAAGGGGCGCCGTGGGTCAACGACGAGCGCGTTGCCGGGCACCACGCCCTCGGTGGGGCCGTGCATGACCGCGATAAAAGAGTCGGTGGTGGGCTCGGGCCCGATGCGCATCCCCGGGAAGTCCTGCTCGATCAAGTGCCGGATGAAGGTGGTCTTGCCCGTGCTGTACTGGCCCACGAGGAGCACCATGGGCTTGTTGTCGAAGTCAGCATCCTCCAGCGCGGGCGAGTGGAACTCGTGGAAGCGGTAGTGCTCTTCCAGGGGCAGCAGCTTCTGTGCGTACAGCTGCCGCAGCCCCTCCGCAACTGTCTGGAAGAGCTCCGGCTCCTTCTTGCGACGGGCATCCTTGCTGACCCAGCTGAACATGCTGCGGGGAACGGGGCTGGCTGCTGCGGGGTAGACGGGCAGCTGAGAGCGGGGCGAGAGCGCACCGCCGAGGAGGGGCCGGCCGGCCGGCGGAGAGACGCGGGCGGCGGCCGGGGGACAGGGGGCGGGTGGCGGCCCGCACTGCGCAGGCGCAGGGCACGGCTCACTGAGGCGCCCTCTGCCGAGTGGAGCGCGCGCCTCGCCGAGCGTCCTTTATAGGGTCGAGCGCCGCGATCCGGCGCGCCCCGCCGCCCGAGGGCCGGCGGGGAGGGAGAGTAGGGAGGAATCTCTCCGGACCCCGCCCCCAGCTGCGTGCCACGTCCTCCCCTCCCCCGCCTTCCATTGGCTGATTTCAAATATCGCGAGCCCTGGGCCGGGGCGCCGTGGCAACTGCACCTGTTTCGCCCCGCCCTTCGTGCGCGGACTACGGAAGTGCTGTGGTTGGGAAAGCCCAAGTCCGCAGCCAGGTGGTCCCGGGCCGCGAGCCTTTCAGCGCCGATGACACCCCCACGCCCAGCCGGAGGGTTGCAGCCAGGCACCCCACTCGCTCTGTCTCCCGCGAGCCGTTCTCCCACTGGCTCAGTATCCCCAGAGGCCTTGGCGGACCCCGGGATCCCTGGCGCCTCCGCATCTCGTCCGCTTCCCCAACACCTCCCTCTCTTGCCCACATCTTTCATCTGCCCTGTGGAGGGAGAGATGGGAAAGCGATGGTGGCAGCCCAGGGAGCCGAGAATCCGGGGCGGGGGGTGATCCGGGATGGAGAAGGGGTCCGTTGGGGAAAGTCCGACCGACCATAAAAGGCCTGGCCTCCCCTCAAGCCTGCGGGGCTGGATTGGGAGATGCGCGCAGCAGTGGAGGACAGAAACGACGCGACCCGCCGGGAGAAGACAAGGCCTCTCCAAAGAGGCTACAACTGGCAGGGCGGAAGGGGGCGAGGAGCAAGTCGAAGCTCTCTGGCCACTTGGGTTTTGAGGAAGCGAAATCGGAAATTCCCTATGTGGGGCAACAATGAAATCTTGTGGGAACTTAGGGGGAATTTAAAAACCCAAATACTTCCGCTTTCACGTTAGGAACACCACCAGTAACCCCGACCTATGCCCCATCATCTTACCGGTTCCTGGCTGTTCCATTGGGTTCATGCCCCCGCCATCATCCCTGGCCACAGCGGGACCCTCTTGGCTGTCCAGGCTGGTAAGAAGCTTCAGTGGGTGATGTCAGAGCTTTGGGGACTGTGATTGTTATGTAACCAATATCAGGACACCTGAGTGTGGGAGGGGGACCTGGGAGCTGTTGGAAGTCTAAAGTAAGCCAGAGAACTGGTGGTGGCACCTGCCTGTAGTTCAGCTGCTGGAGAACTGAGGTGGAAGAATCTCTTGAGCCCACAAGATGAAGACTGGCCTGGCCATCAACAGCCACCAAAATAATAGTAACAAAGTTATGGGGCTGGAGGTGTAGCTCAGTGATAGTGTGCCCACTTAGCATGCAGAAGGCTCTGGGTTTGAAGCCCAGACCATTAAAAAAAAAAAAAAATCCAGGGATGATGGTGGAACATCTGTAATCCTAGCAATTTGGGAAGCTGAGGTAGGAGGATGGTAAATTAGCTGGGTCAATTTACCAAGACCCTGTCTCAAATTAAAAAGGGGTGGGGGGCTCGGTAGTACTCACCTATAATCTCAGCAGCTCTGGAGGCTGAGGCAGGAGAATGGTGAGTTCAAGGCCAGCCTAAGTAACTTAGTGAGGCCCTAAGTAACTTAGTGAGGCCCTGTCTCTAAATTTTTTTTAAAAAGGGGGGGTGGGAATGTGGCTCAGTGGTTAAGCCCCTGGGTTCAATCCCCAGTACAAAAATAAAAGGGCTCGTAATGTAAACTCTGATAGAATACTTGCCTGCTTATGAGATCCTGGGTTCAACCTCTAGTACCACAAAAATAGTAATAAAATAAACTTTAAAATGAGCCAGGCTGGGCATGATGGTGCATGCTGTAATCCCAGTAACTAGGGAGGCAGAGGAAGGAGAATTGTAAGTTCAAAGCCAGCTTCAGCAACTTAGGAGATCCTATCTAAAAAAAAAAAAGATGGGGATGTGGCTCTGTAATTAAGCATCCCTAGGTTTGATCCTCAGGACCAAAAAATAAAATAGAAAATAAAATGAGTTGGAGGCTTAGTGGTAGTTGTGGAGTTGTGGCTCAGTAGTAGGAGTGCTCACCTAGCGCAGGTGAGACACTGGGTTCAATACTCAGCACCACATAAAAATAAATACATAAAAATAAAGGCATTGTGACCACCTACAACTAAAAAATATTTTAAAAATATATGAGTCAGGCACAGTAGTACACACCTCTAATCCCAGTTACTCTAAGTCTGAAGCAAGAGGATCATAAGTGTGAGGCTAGTCTGGGCGATTTAGACCATGTGTCAAAAAACAAGGGGGAGATGGGGATAGAAGGGTTGGGGATGTCGTTCAGTGGCAACACACCCCTGGGTTCAATCCCCAGTCTAAATAATGCATGCATAACCTGGGAACATGAAAGACTCCTGACTTCTGAGAGATGGGGAAATCTGGAGGACTGGGCTCCTGTATCAGGGGAGCAAGCCGACTGGCAAGCAGAAAGAACCAGGCAGGAGGTCAAATCTGAGAACAGGCAATGTATATATTGGGGGATCTCAATTAGGTGGGATCCAAAGAGGACAAGATGGGAAGTTTGGGCCTCTCTACTTTCTGAGGGAATATTTATTGCTTTCCCCTCTCATTCCTAACCCATTGGAGATAATGTGTTATTCCAGTCCTGCCTATTGTCCTGCCCGTTGTCCTGCGCCCTGACTTACTGCCTTCATTGGGAATTCTATTAGCATTCTTTCCATCTATCACAGTAAGATAGAGAACCCAGAAGACTTTTTTTGCAGGATATGAAGGTGTTCTCAAGAGGATGTTGATGCTCCTGGGTTCAGGGGGATGTCATCAGAGACTGTGCCAGCTTGTGACCAGGATCCTCCAGCAGGCCCAGTCCAGACTTCCTGTGTCAGCCTTGGAAACCAAAGGATCTGCCTCCTACACAGCAGTGATGAGGGGTCCACCCCGGAGATGTAATTTCTGGGCTGATCCAGGGGAAGGCCTGAGGCAGAGGATCCTAAATGACATGGTTGTTCAGTGGCATGAATAACTATGGGGAGCTCAGTCTCTAGCTCACATTGACCTGCCATGGTTCTCCCATCTCCCCAGGGCCCTGTGTACTGGGAAAACCCAGCCCCAGAAAATTGAGAACAAAATGTTCCTGGGTTATTTATAAATGAAACCCAGACCCTGTTGTTCTATGTGTCCACTCAACTTTCTCCAAGGAGCTCAAAGGACTGGAAGAAGGGATCTCCCTCCTTCTGTCATGAGGCTCAGTTACCCCAAGTTCCCTGAGTTGGTGCCCAGATCCTGGGCAGCTTCCTTATCTTGTGATGTCTCAAATTGTGAAAATATCCTGATATTACTTCTTTTGTCTTTTTTGAATAGGGCACTTTTGTTCAGTGGGAAAGTTTTAGGAAATTTGCATGAGCCATTTTACTTTTGGTTTCTCTCTTTCACTTTCTGCTTGTCTGCCTGGGACCAGGGCAGACTGGGGAGGGTTCAAATATTTCCTTTTGGGCTGGGGTTGTGGCTCAGTGGTAGAGCACTTGCCTAGCACGTGTGGCACTGGGTTCATTCCCCAGCACCACATTAAAAAACTAAACAAACTTATTATGTCCATCTACAATTAAAAATATTTCTTAAAAATTTTCCTTTTATTTCAGAAACCATGCCCACCCACCCACACCCCGTGCTCAGTAATTTCCTCTTTGGTTCACAAACACACACCTGCAACCTGGAACTATTGAACCTGCTCAGAGGCTGCCCTACACCAGCAGAAAAAGGTCTCCTACTGCCTTGCCCTCCCTCAAAGCAGTTTGCTCTGTCCCCTAGCAGCTTGGTCTAGAGAAATGTCTACATGTCCCTAAAGACAGCTTTTAAAAAGGGCGGGGGGCAGGGTTGGTTTTTTTCTCTCCAAATATGGCAGAAGAATTAGGCTGAGAAAAGCCCAAAACTAAGGTTTCTCCCTCAAATGAGAAGTGGTTCATTATTTCCACTGAGAAAGTTTGCATATAAGTGTAGATTATTTGCTCTTACAATCAAGAAGAGATTTGGCCTGCAGATCAGTTTTGCCAAACCAAGGTAAAACAGGTTAGATTTGCCAAACCCGCAGTGGTCTGTCCTTTTGCATGGCAGGATCTTTAGCCCTGGCCACAAGGGCATCCTTTGCACACCATGAGGCCCCTTTCTTGCAGCAGCTGTGTGACCTTGGCCTGTGCCCTGGGGAGAGCTGCTGGGCTCCAGAGGCCTCTGCAGACATCTGGCAGTCCGGACATGGCTGGGCTCAGAGATGACAGTAGCAGGATCTCATCTACTTTCAAATCCCATGAGAAAAAGCCTGAGGCCCTGTGGTATTCAGTGACTTGCTTGTAGCGTCCCAGGCTGAGCGAGATGCTGGGCTTTTGGAATCTGAACACGTCTCTTTTCACACTCTGACCATTCGAAGCTGCCAGATCCGGCAGGTGGAAAAGCAGCCAGAGCATCAGAACCTCTTTCCCAGGCACAGGCTGAAGCGAACTCTGCCGGAGGCCACCAGCCCCCTCTGGCCCCTTTGCTCCTCTGGAGCCCTGGTGACAGGTGAGCATGCATGTGTGACCACAGGGAGGGTTTTACAGAGCTGAGACCTAGACACCTCTGTGCATTTTTGGTAAAAACAAAAGTTCAACTGCTGGGCTAGAGGCCATCTGCTGCTAGGCTTCTAAACATGCATCTCAATCTCTGGCCTTACTTTGCAGCTATGGCTGAGGCAGGAGCTGATCTGAGAGCAGGGCACAGCATTTACCCTAGACTGGCTGGAGAGACCCAGGGCTGTCCTGGCCCCATTTTGGCTCCAGCCTTCACTGTGGCCAACTGGACTATGAGGTTTCCTCGGGAAGTGGTGATTATTTGGTAACAGGAGTATTCTGCTGGGACTCCTTTACCTTACAGTGGAGGGTGTAACCCTGATGGCCCCCAGCCTCAGTGGCCTAAGAGCACAAATGAGGTGGACAGATGTTGCTGCCTGAGTGACAGGCTGCTGCCCTCTTCATGTCCGCTCCAGGCACTTTGGGGGTCTCCCCTGTCCTGTTCTCCTAGCTATATCTCTCTCACCATGGTCTCTCCTTCCTGGAGCCTCCATGGCTGGGGCTGTTCTGACCCTCATCATGGGCCTCACACACTGGGAGCTAGAGAGTCCCTAACCATGTGTCACACCCAGCATCAGAGCTTCGCCCATCTTCAGTGAGCCCAGCTCCCCAGGTTTCTAGTTCAGCCACTCACTGTCACGCCTCAGTAGGGGCCAGACCATAACCCGGCCTGCCTCCAGGGCCCTCCTCTAAACCAACACCTCTCTTCTTCATCCCTCCAAATCAAAGACTCTGGGCAGGTCTCTTGGGTGGCCCATGAGTGGTCCATGCAGATCACCTTCTCTGCCAATAGCCAGTCTCCCACTGTCCTTCTGTTCAGCTAGGACTTTCCTCTGACCTGTATCTTCTTCATCCTGTCCTCAAATACAGGCAATGGTGATGAGTCATTTTAAAGGGGACCAGAAGCCAGAGTCCTTCGCCGAGGCCCATGGTGACCCAAGGTCCATGCTTGTTTGCAGAAGGACATGTTGGGCCCGCCCTCAGGCAGGACTACAGTGGGACCCTTCTCGGAGTTGGAGTCAGGCCTCCATCTCCTGCTTATCCAGTTTGGCCCCCTCATTACCACAACTGCTCCCAGAAACACCTCTCCAGTCCTTTAATCATGGTCACAGGCAGAACTGCAATATGTCCCTGGGGTATATACCCAGTAGAGACCCAGAACTGTGAATGTCATGGATTTCCTACTGTGATCTGTTGCATTAGGCGGAACAGCTGCCTTCACATAGGAAGGTTGTCTTAGGGACCCTCACCTGAGCTCCTTAAAAAGCAGAATTTTCTCTGGCTGGACAATTGCAGAAAAGGAAGTCAGAGATTCAAAGCAAAGGAGAGAGCAAGCTTTTCATGTTGGCTTGAAGAGGGAGGTTGGCTGGCAAGGGATATGGAGCCTCTAAGAGCTAAGTGAGGTCCCCAACAACCAGCCAGCAAGGAGAGGGGCATCTCAGCCCCACAACTCAAGAAAGCAGGGTCTGCCAAAAACAGGAGTGAGCTGGGAAGCAGACTGTGCCCAGGCTTGCAGG